AAGCTTCAGTAGAGCAAAGAAAAATTCAGATGCATGAATTAGAAGAAATGGGACTTAATGCATATGAATCATCCAAGTTATACAAGGAGAAAGTTAAGGCATATCATGATAAGAAAATTCTGAAAAGAGATTTTCATCCAGGCTAGTCAGTATTACTGTTTAATTCAAGATTAAGAACTTTTCGTGGGAAACTGAAATCCAAATGGTCAGGTCCATTCGTGTGGTAAGATCCGTTAGGCCTTATGGTTCTGTGGAATTGGAAGATCCAACAACAGGAACAATATGGGCAGTTAATGGGCAGAGAATTAAAGCATATTTGGGAGATGTAGTGGATAAGCTTCACCTCATTATCTACTTAGATGAACCTTAAAGCAAATAGGCGTCGAGCTGAAGACGTTAAACAAGCACTCATGGGAGGCAACCCAATGTTTTTTCTTTAATTTCTTTTGTTTCTGGCAATTTAAAATTTTTTTGTTTTATCTTATTGCATTATAAATGGAGCATGAACACATTTGAACATTGCTGAACTAAATCTATGAGAAAATTTGCTTTTGAGTTGTTAATCATTGGATTGCATTTGAATATCATGTTCCAAGTCAAAAATTCACTAAATTTCGCACAAGCGATAAAGGATTCGCTTGAGCGAATGTTAGTTGTTTCTCTCTGTTTTTCTTTGCTCAAACAAAAAAAAAATTGTGCACACATTCGCTCAAGCGACACAAGATTCGCTCAAGAGACACAAGATTCGCTCAAGCGAATATACGTTATTTCTCTTTGTTTTTGGTCGCTCAAGCGAATAATAGGCACACTGATTTTCGTTTGAGTGAAAGTACCCATATCTGGTTTTTTAAAAATCGCGAAAAGGGTCACTTTTCATTTATCCTAAAACCCTATTTTGCACCCACTCTTCCCCAAATTCATCTCTTCTCTAAATTAAGCCTAAGTCTTTCAAATTTCGGCTCTCAATTCATCACTTCATCTATTCTAGAGCATTTGAGTAATATTTCACCGATTAAATCTGCAAATTGAACCACTGTTCATATCAAATTCTGCATTTGTGAGTTTTCCAGAAAATCTGCAAATAAGGTAAGGAATTAACTCTTTTTGTTCGAAATTATCTAATTCTTGTCATGCAAGTTGGATTTGTGGCTGAATTGATTGGATATATTGCATTGTTATAGGTTAGAAATTCAGATGCATGCCAAGTGTTTGCTAAAATGCTTCAAAGGAATTTATTTGGTTTGTAGGTGATATAAAGTTTGTAATTGCTAATGAATTGCTTAATTATGTAAGTGGGAAAGGAATCATGCTAGAAATTAGGACCATACAAGTTCGAAAATAAGGTGCATGCCAATTGTTTGATGAAATGTTCAAGTATGAACTATAGTGTGTTTTTGCAATTGAACATATCAATAGTCTCACATGCAGACCTAAGTAGCATTGTATTCATGATGGGATCAAAATATTAGACTAACTATGAGTATCATGATGTTTCAGATGGGTCCAAGAAAAGATTCACAAGGTGCTTCATCATCCAGGGCTACTGGAAAAAGGCCAAGGACTGAGTCTGCAGGCATTCAAATAGATAGAAGAAGATTCAGGGATGCTGAGAGGCAGGCAAGATTTGAGAGAATCCGAAACTGGACCTTCATCCCAGAAAGAAGAGTAGAATTGAATGAGGGCGAGTATCCAGAATTCAACAATGAATTAACCCGCCGGAACTGGAGGCAACTGGCGCTCCCAAAGCCCAAGTATGATCCTTAGATTGTAAAGGAGTTCTACGCCAATGCCTGCCTAGTTGAAGGTGATCCATTCAGGGGACGTTTCAAAGTGAGAGGCAGGTGGGTTCCGTATAATAGGAACGCAATTAATGATTTGCTGGGGAATCCACTTTTTATGGAGGAAGGCCATATTTGTGACTTCCAAGTCATTAGGAATAGCAGACGTCTAACTGAAATGCACTTTAGGGATGATGACGTCACAAGAGCCCTATGCTTGCTTGGGAGGACCTTTGAGGCAAACCATGCTGGGAAGGCTTTAAGGATTTTAAAGGCTAACATGACCGCATTAACTCAGATCTGGACTTCTTTTCTGCTGGCCAACATTGTACCCATCAAGTCAGATCTGAATATGCCCAGGTGTCATATCATCAAGTGCATTTTGGATGAAACTATGATTAACGTCGCCGCGATTATTTTAGAGGAAATTTATCAGTTTGTAGTTTTGGAAAGCGGGCGACGAGTAGAGCAAGCAAAGGCTCTTGGATTTCCTGCTCTCATAACAACCCTTTATGCAGCCAATGGTGTGGAAGTTAGCCCATTAGTGAACATCCCGACCACTAATTAATAGGAGATTCATCGAGCGGAACTGTGTGAACCCTATAGAAGGGGAGCCACAACCACTGGCACAGGAACCACATCATCCAAGAAGAGCCCGGTAGCCACCTCCACCGCCTCAGTAGCCAGATTTTCAAAGAATGATGCAATACATGGAGCATCTAACTTTACAACAATCAGCGACCCATAGGGGTCAATGCAATATTAATGAAAATTGTTATAACTTTGCAAATTGCTCCAGGTATGCAGTGGACGTCACTATAGGAATTTGATGCCTTACTTCAATGGCCTGGGGACAGTCCCTATTTTCCAGGAGGGGGTGAAGGTGCAATTGGTGCGCAGGGAGCACAAGAAGAGGAGGATGAATCACAAGAAGAAGATGAAGAAGAAGAAAGTGAAGAAGAATAAGAGGGAGAAAATTTTAATTTTAAGTGATTTTTGTTTTATTTTGGTGTGTTTAAGTGAATTGGTTAATTTGATGTTTTAAGTTTTGTGTTTGAATTTGTTTGAAGTTGTTTTGTTTTGAATATTCTGAATTGATATTTAATGTGATGAATGTTTAAATTAATGTGATTAAATTGTTGTCCCATACAATTTGGATTTGAGCCAATTATGAAATTATTGTTTATTGTCCAATTCAAATCTGGAATTTGAAGAAAACCATTTTAATTACTCCAATAACAAGTGATTTTGGGATGATGAGTATGATAGTGAAAAGGAATTGGCGGGGAGAAGTAGGAATTAACTGAATCGAAGAAGCTAACCAAAAACCCAAGCGAGAAGTGAACCAAAAATAGATAAATTGAGTGTCAACACTTTGTGATGATAACTGTTATTGATTGATTCTTTGATGTGATTGCGTGTTAGTAAGACTTGAAAATGATAAAGACATTTTTTCTTTGTAGTAGATATAACCCAGAGCCAAATAGTCAACCCTGCATTAATTATAGGACATCCATTTGAACCCCTTCTTAGCCAAAAATAATATTGTTTCTTAAACAGAACCCCTGAGCCTAAAAACTATTTATCTACCTTCCTATATTTGAGAAAGGAAATGAGTATGAATGTTATTATTTTTCCTATTGTTGGGTATTGCTATTGTTATTCAACGGGTATTATTGGGGTGTTCTTAAAAAAAATGTAAAGAAAAAGGAAAAACAAAGCATAAATCTTGTGGTAAAGCCAGAAAGAATAAATGCAAAGCAGAAAAAAAGAAAAGAGTTCAAAGGGGGGAATAATAACTTGTAAGATTATTAAATCACTATCATTATGTTAGGGACAAAAGAATGAAGTTTGAAACCTGACTTGAGGAAATGTTAAACAGGAATCATTCATATGAGTTGAATTTCTCAAATACTTTTGTATACCCCAGAAAAACCAATGATTCTTTCTTAGCCCAACCCCATTACAAGTCTCAAAAGACCTTTTGATTTAAGTCTTGCTTAAAAAATGTTGATTGCTTGAAGATGATTATTAATATTAGATTGTCTAAATGAAGTGATTGAATGAGATAAATACTTACCCATGAGAGTTAGAAATGATTATATATCACTCTATTTGAGATATTATGCTTCTCTGAGGATAGTTGAGGACTAATTATTCTTTGTTAGTTTCTGTAACTTGAAGGCTTAGGTATTCTATTTTTCATTTGGAGTTGTGAGCATCACATCTAAAATTTTTTTTATGTTGTGGTTCTGGAAGAGAAAGTTATAATAGGCGATGATTTTGTTTTAGAAAAATTACTTTGCTTGCGACAAGCAAGATTTTAGGTTAGGGGGAGTTGTTAAGTGGTAAAAAGTTGATATAATTATGCCTTGATTTGTTATGAAACCACTTAAGTTATGTTAATTGGGAATTTCCATTGAAACCATTCATCATGGGATCGACTTTTATTTAATCGAAATACTATACTGCGATTGATAATTTTGATACGCTTACCAATAATTCAACATTAACACGATCTAACTCATTTCAACATGCAAATAATATAATCCAATTTATTCCAACTTTTCCCACATAATACAATTTTTCTTAATCAGATTTTACCTTATTAATTTGATCTGTCCCAACTTGATTTAATTCGATCTAGTCTGTCATGCTCTATCTCGATCTAAAATGACTTATATGGATAAAGATTAAGTATTATATGTTGAACGTAATTCACAATTCTAATGATAATTTTTATATTTGATAATAATTGAAATATTTTATTTAAATAAAATATTAAAGTTTAATAAATTTAAGTTATTTTACCTAAATAAAATATTTATAAAAAAAAATCTAATTCACTATATTTAAATTCCTAAATTATAAAATACTTTATCGAAACGTACGTATTCATAATATTGGTTTGCTTAACTTTAAATTTTCCTATTCTTTCATGAATTTATTTATTTACTTTTCTATGATCTTTTGAGATGTTGCATATGATTGTAGATTTTGGAATCACTACATTATATTGGAATGATCATAAAGTTTGGTACCAATGCTTAGCATGACAAATGCTTTAAACGTGGCAAAGATATTAATGTTGTCGTACAAGAAGAGTCTCGCGTGAAGCGTGTCCAATCAAAATTGTTATCTTCTGCAGTAAAATGTATCTATAAACTGTCACATGCAACAAGGAAATAATGCAGCAAAACTTCGAAACTCAAAAACCAAACGATGGCTTATATCAAGCTTCCTCCTTTGGCTCTCTTCTTGCTTGCCACTTCCTGTATGTGTAGCTTTCCATTCAATTTTTTATAAATTTTAGAACTATGGAAATTTATACTATATATGTGCATTAGTTCTAACTTTGACATATAAATTTTAGTAATGTTCTTGAAGAATATAGAAGCTGAAGGTGCTTTTTGTGCGAGTACTTTTTGTACGCTGTCTCCAGATTGTGGCATTGGTTGCAGATGTTACTATGGTGGATGCTATAATAATAGAGAACTTGATTCTGCTGCGAAGACGATGGAAGAAAATTCAGACTTATGTGAATCTCATGAAGAGTGCAAGAAGAAAGGAAGTGGAGACTTTTGTGCTCGTTCTCCTAATCCTCTTATACATCATGGCTGGTGTTTTCACTCTCATTCTGAAGCACTGAAACAATTCTTCGCGATTACCACGCAATATTTGTATGCCAAGTGAAAAAGTTGTCATACATGATGCATCTACTATTTGAATAAATAAAAGCTTCTGTTTTCAACTCGGTCAAAGTCTAAGGTGAAGTGACTATTAATCTATGACCTGATCTGTTATAAAATATTAGACGAGCTGAAGCAGGGGTTCACTCTTCCTCCCTCCATCATCTTGTAATAATTTGTTTGTTCAAATAGAGTCTATGATAATAAATATCTTGTTTCACTCATGAAGCTGCTTGATTGATAAATACAAACAATTAATTAACTTTAAGCTTTATTTTTTTTTCTTCCAAATTTAAGGTGATTTTAGCTAAGGAACTGAATCTTTAACATCCCTAACTCAATAATGTTATAATTTAGGTTCCGAAGCTCTTATTCCACAGACAAGAATATATTTTATTTCATACGTGATATTGAATTTACTTTATAATTAAAAGAAAATGAAAACTTTGTTATTTTTCGTTTTTATCGTAATAACAATTCTGAAATCAAAGAGGATAATTTTGTTATAAAAGTTTTCTAATACTTGTCAAATGTTTATTTTGACACATAAATAATATCATGAGTTATATTCTATTCTTACTTTATTCTAATTCCAATATTACCTTTATCTTCTACCTCCGCACACTTTTTATTGTATAATTTAACTTTTGAGATAAATAAAAATATATGTTAACAAAAAGTTTTTTATGATCACTCATGTGATTGTTGTTTTTCTGGCATACATTCTTATGGTCTTAAGTTATATTTTGACAAGCAAATAACAAGATCCTTTTCCTATTTTTTTCAGCAAATTAATTGTACTATTGATTGTAAATTCTTTTGAATATATCCAAATCTTTTGCGATTACAATATTATGATTTACTTTTATTTTAATATATATTTTTTAATGATTATTCTTCTTACATATTTCACATCATCTTCCATTTTTTTTCTTCTAGTCTCTTCCTTTTTCACATATATTTCTTCCACTTTCGCTTACAAATTTGCCTCACATGGAAGACTCACAAATATCAATAGATTCATCTTTTTGAGACGGTATGAGTTTGAATTGAAACGTGTCAATGTTTGATCATTTATTGTTTCTCTATATATTTTATTTGATTCACTAATTTAGAAAATCCATTAAAGTATTCATTCAAATTTTCATTTTCATTTTATTATAAAATTCTTTTTAAAAATTGAAGTTTGATTGTCCACACAATTGAAATATGAAGTATGAGACATCCGGTAAACAAAGTTTTTTTTTTCCTTTCTTTTTATAAGTTAATGTTTGATTTAAATGTTTGAGTATAAGTTATACGTCGGTTATTTTGACCTTTTTTACATCAGAAATAAGTCTAACGTTAATACGAAATATGTAAATTTACGTCGGATTTGGAATAACTGATGTAAATTTAAGTTGGAACCTAGGAATAACTGACGTAAATTTACGTTGGACGCTGGGGTAGTCAACGTAAATTTACATCAGATATGTCTCTAGTCCGATGTAAATTTTGTTGTTTTTACAGCAAGTCCAGATATCATACAATACAAAACATACAAACAATACAAGCATACAATACAAAACAAACAATAACATACAATACAAAAACAATACAAAATAAACTAAAAATATCGAACAAAAAACCTTATTTTTTGTTCTCTAATCTGTGTAATTTCATGTTCTGATAGTGGAGATAGATGAATCTTGAAATACCTGAAACATTAATTTGACTTCAGTTAACATGCAACAGACACAAAGGTAAATGAACTTAACAAATGTTGAAAGCAATTACCTGTGGTTATACCAGCATAAACTTTTGTGTATTACATGCACTTAGGAGCATATTTTGGGAAAACTACTAGGATAAATCTCCTTTGAGAATTGTGTCCCCTCTTCTTCGCCTTTTTCTCTTTGTTTTGATATGTTATGCGTCTGAATCTGACATCCGAATCAAAAGTTATCTTGTTTCGAACATTTTCCATTTTCCATTTTCTTTTTATCATAAAACCCTAATACACAAAACAACAACAACAACCTAAACCCCCAATATACAAATTACAACAACAAGAACAACAAAAAAGTAGGATTCAAACACATAGAACACTAATTACAACGTTCAATATCAATAAAAATTCAGTGGAAACATTCAATTTTAACATAAAAGAGGAGACGAGACACATATAACACTAACCTCTATACAAAAAATGTTGTAAAACTCGAATTCAATTAGAGAGAAATGTTAACCACCACAAATGGGACACATTGAAAGTATTTTCGTCACTTCTTCATCAATTCTTCACTTCTTCCACATTTGAAGCATTGTAATGGCTAACATGAGTGACTAACTTCATTCTCTTGGGATTTGGTGCACTTCCTTTGAACTCTTTTGTATCATGGTGATATTTTGAGATATTAATCTATGTTTTAATGTTGTTATTCTTATCCTTTGTGCTTTGAAATGATTTATTCTAGATGTTTGGGATATGATTGGAAAATATATCTTGAACCCTAGATCACAGTAAGAATATTTGTTACGTTAATTGTTAGGAATGGAATGAATGTATCAATTACTTAACACCCTAAACCTAATGTTGGAAAAATCTCTTAATTGTGTAAGGAATCAATATTTATTAGGTTTTCTTATGAATTTCATGTGTGAGGAATCAACATGGATGATTTGTGTTGGTGACATCAACATTGTTAGGTTAATTGACGTTCTTAATTGACATAGCCATTATAAAAGAGGGATAAGGAAGGAAGTCAATCATAAGTGCCTTTAATTGATCTTTTCTCAACAATTTATAGTTCTTTGTCATTTAATTTCAATTCAACTCTTTATGCAAAACTCATTATGTTTTAATCTACTTAGTAAACATAAAATTGGGAATTTCCATTGAAACCGTTCCTTGTGGGATCGAATTTTATTTAATCGAAATACTATACTGTATTGATAATTTTGGTACGCTTGCCAATAATTTAACATAATCATCTTCAGGCAATCAAAATTTGTTAAGCAAGACTTAAATCAAAAGGTCTTTTGAGGCTTGTAATGGGACTGGGCTAAGAAAGAATCATTGGTTTTTCTGGGGTATATAAAAGTATTTGAGAAATTCAACTCATATGAATGATTCCTGTTTAACATATTCTCAAGTCAGGTTTCAAATGTCATGCTTTTGTCCCTAACAAAATGATAGTGAGTTAATAATCTCACAAGTTATTATTCCCCTCTTTTGACTTCTTTTTTTCTTTTCTGATGCTTTTGCCTTTATCCTTTCTGGCTTTGCCACAATTTTTAAGCTTTGCTTTTCCTTTTCCTTTACACCATTTTTTTTAACAATAACAACCCAATAATACCCGTAGGACAACAATAGAAATACCCAACAATAGGAAAAATAAAAACATTCATACTCATTTCCTTTCTCAAATATAGGAAGGTAGATAAATAGTTTTTAGGCTCGGGTTCTGTTTAAGAAATTATTTTTGGCTTAGAAGGGGTTCAAATGGATGTCTTATAATTAATGCAGGGTTGGCTATTTGATTCTGGGTTATATCTACTACAAAGAAAAAATGTCTTTATCATTTTTCAAGTCTCACTAACACACAATCACATGAAAGAATGAATCAATACCAGTTATCATCACAAAGTGTTGACACTCAATTTATCTATTTTTTGTTCACTTCTCGCTTGGGTTTTTGGCTAGCTTCCCCGATTCAGTTAATTCCTACTTCTCCTCGTTAATTCCTTTTTCACTATCATACTCAATATCCCAAAATCACTTGTTATTGGAACAATCAAAATGTTTTTCTTCAAGTTCTAGATTTGAATTGGAAAATAAAAAATAATTTCATAATTGGCTCTAATCCAAATTGTATTAGACAATAATTTAATCACATCAATTTAAACATTCATCTCATTAAGTCAATTCAGAATATTCAAACAAAACAACTTAAAACAAATTAAAACAAAAACTTAAAACATCAAATTAACCAATTCATTTAAACACACAAAAATAACAAAAATCACTTAAAATAAAATTTTCTCCCTCTTAATCTTCTTCTAAACTTCCTTCTTCTTCATCTTCTTCCTGTGATTCCTACTGTTCTTCTTGTGCTCCCTGTTGTAGACCCCTAATTTTGCCCGGCCTCTCAAATAAAAGCTAGGGAAACTTCATACAGTTCACCCGGCTTCATATCAAAGAAAAACCAAGAAAGACCTCCCACAACAAAGACGGAGTTCACCCATTCACACAATAAAGACCAAAGAGACTTCCTACACAAAGACAAAGCTCGACCGGCATCTTAATGAAGGCCAAGAAGACTTCCTATATGAAGATAAAGCTTCAACGGACACACATCGGCATCAATCTATGTCCGAAAAAGGAAAGGA